TAATAATAATAATAATAATAATAATAATAATAATAATAATAATAATAATTCAATAAAAACTTAAGCAAATAGAAGAGAAAATGATCTTGCAGATAAGATTTCAATAAATAAGTAGTATTTCAGTACATAATAACGAGTATTATTATAGGCTAAGAAATGAACTCGTGGTGGGATAAAACTCCCCCCCTCCCTCCGCCTGCCTGCCTGCTTTTTGTCTGAAAATATTCAGAAAATTAAAGAAGTTAAACAGTTACAGAACAGCGCAAGACAAAAGTTGTTTTAGAGGCACTATTATGGCTAACAGGAGCAGGAAGCACTAAGGTGGCAGTGAACTGGAAGTAGTGTAGGAAAACAAGGTTCAATGACTTGATGAATTAACCACACAGTGATATCAGTAATGGAAAAAGCAATATATTTAGAAAATAACAGAGATTAAGAATGCAGTAACATTTTAACTGCAATTTCTAATCTTCAGATAAACAAATGAAAAAAAGTTAATCTCTTACCTCATAAACTATATAGACAAGAGAAAACGTTCATTTTATATCCCTGTTTACCCATAACCACAAGAATCAGAAGTAAATCATCTTAATTAATACAACTCTATATGAAACCAAATTAAAATAAAATCTATGTAAACAATCTAACTGTATTTTGAACAGAAGCTTAAAGATTATGCTTTAAACCAACTTTCCCCAACCATATGCCCTTGGGAAGTTTTGGGATCATAATTTATAACTAACTGGAAATTCTGGGACTTGTAATTGGAAAGTCTTTGGAGGGCATCAAGCTGAAGGGCAGTTTAAATTGTAAAGGCATTTTATGCTTGCACTTCTGCAAATAGTCAATGAGGCATTTAATGTCATAAGAACATCATACATCTGTGTATGTTAAATAAATGCAATACACGGTTCCTTAAGAACTGTACTTTTTTCTAATGCTAATTGTAACATTTATGAACTTTATTACAGCTTTTGTAGGATTTGAGAACACCAACAGATTGTAATAGGCCAACTACTGCAGATTAGCTGGGTGTGACAGACATTTGTTATTTTTTTGTACTGCCATAGTTATTGATTTTCTAGAAAGAGCTGTTGCAGCTTTTATTCAGATATGAACAAAGATAACTGATGAACTCCCTTGAGAAGGCACTACTTAAAAGTTTATAGTGCATAATTAATACCAGGGCAGATACTGTGGTATGAAATCACCACATAGGAATATGCCTGCTTGGCATAAAAGGAGATGCTGTGTATTGTACAGATAGCCTGGTGGACATTAAAAAAAGTCAACAGCTGTATCATAAAGTAGAAAGCATACATTCTGGAATAAACATTTCAAAGACTAGTTTCTAAGGCAACATTTAAAAATATGAATTATTTCACAGAGGGCCAAGTTGAGTAGCAGAGGAAAACTGGGTGGATGAGAAGGTGATTTGGGATAAAAGTTTAGATTGTAAGCACTGAGACATTCTAGAATTTATATCCATGTCCCTTTAATGTTTTGTCCATACACTCTACATTTTCAATGAGTTCTGTAGTACACAATACCACACTGCTTTAGATGATGAAATAATTAATGCCGAAAACTCTTGTGAATATACATTTACTCTCCATTGGTAATGAACACTATGTAGCTCTTATAAATGATTAAATATTTCTAGCATGGGAGTCTAAAATTTCCCACTCTGTTCTAGAAAAAGAAGATGGAACTAAAGTACGCTACTGTTTCATTTTCCTCAAGTAACAATCCTTTTTGAACTGGTGAAAAATATGAAGAAAAATTAAAAAACCAGAAATTTCTTAAGGGATTCCCTCTCCTGGATCTACAAAAATACAGCAGCCATTGCTGCAAATTCACTTGATGAAGCAGTTGGGGGTTCCACTTTGGTCTGCTGTAAATTCATCAAGCACACACTCAACGCTTTTCACATTCTTGTGTCAGATCTTATGGCAGAATAATGGAAGATGCATTTGTTCTTTTGCTATACAAACGGCAATACCAGCCCAAGAAAATGCTTGAGCAAGACTTTGAACTATTTTCTGTTTTTACATGTTTCCTAATTAGAGTCAGAGGAACTCTTTCTCTGGATGTCAACAGCTCTAGAAAAAAAACAAACATGTAATAGCAACATTCTCCATTTTTCTGCAGGAATATTTTCTTTAAATTAATCCAACTATGTTCTTTTGTTTTAATGCGCAACTTTGCATTGCCTCAGTTATAATTTTTTCCTGTTTGATCCCATATTTATGTATAAGTTCTGAAACACTGTTGCAACAAACAGCATGATGTCCAAAATAATCTACATATGTAACTAAAGTCAACCTTAGTATGTCAAATACTGTTTTAACTGAAAAGTCAGGATGCTTGGGTCAGAGAAATAATGCTGTCTTCAATCTCTGAAAGCTTCTTCAACATTTCATTCAATTCAATCTCATCAAATTCCACAGTCAAAAGTTCAGATTCCTACAATAAAAAGGAAGGAGGATGTTAGATGTAGATAACTTCTTAACAAAAAATACAGCACAAACAATTCATATGAGAATTCTGGCTATTTACACAGAAATTATTTGGAATAATGAGTGTGAAACATTATAAGTACCGTATTTTTCTGACAATAAGACGCCCCCATGTACAAGATGACCCCCACTTTTCCAACCCAAAATTAAGAAATCAATATTTTAAAGATAGTGC